TTGACAATATTCCTTATGTTGTATTTTAAATCCCAATGACTGTTTTTATAACTGGCAATATATACATCTAATCCCTTCCCCTTTTAGACCCATCCCCCAACCACTCCCTATAATCTCTGTTTTATAGAAAATGATTTTTTAAACAAAACATATCTAGAAAATAGGTCCATTTTGCAAGAACTCAGAACAGTAATCAGAGGAAATGTCATAGTTTGGGGAAAGATTTCCTATCTTTTATGTCACTGTCAAGGTTGTTATCTTCTTGAGGTAGAAACTGTTTGATCTTGGTATCCCCCAACCTACTTCAGTGCCTAGTATAGTGCCTGTGAGTGCTGAAGATAAAGGGCTTATATTAATTTCTGTAGTGTTGGGGTCTAATCTAGTGTCAAGAATACAGTATGCTTATTAAATGCATTAACTCAGTTAATCCTCACAACAGCCCTCAAAAGCAGTGTTATTTTTCTTGTTATTAATTAGGTAAGGAAACTGAGGCACAGAAACATTAAGTTAATTGCCCCAAATTACCAAGCCAGTTAAGTAGTAGAGCTGGAATATGAACCCACGCAGCCTGGCTATAGGCCTGTACCCTTAATATTTAACACAGGAGGTGCTTAATTAGATATTTGTTGAATGAATACAATTGCAAGAAAATGTGAATTATAATTCTGTAAAAGAAGGAATCCATTTTACCCGTGTACTATATACAATAGTCATTCTCTCAAAAACTCAGTAGAAGTCGACTATTTTGTAAATTTCATCCACTTTACTAGTATGCCCAGCACATTTGAGTTTCAAAAGTTAACCCACACCACATATTAAGGGTTTCTGCTGCTCAAAGCAACTTGTGGTCACCCATTTTGTTGTTTCAAGAACCCCCCTTTTTCATGTCAATAATCACCTCCTAAACTGTCCGATTTATACAGTTAGTTGTTTTCCACATACTAGCTTTTCTAAAGCAGGAATGGTTGGTAAACATCCTGTAGTTGATCCTGTTCTACTCATTCATAACTGGCCCCTCCACCTCACACCATATCTCCAACCATAAGGCTGAAAAGAAAGTTAGTGCCCTCTTCTGGGGGTTTGGGGCACTAGCATACATTGGGCCCACCAGGGGACATTTTAGGAAATAATCATGCCAGCTTCTTTCAATTTTGGTGGTAAGAATGGGGTTGGTTTTTAGATCTTTTTCTGAAAATAAGAAAGCTGACCTAGTCAATCCAGTGAATCTCCTGAAGCCCTGTGGGTAAAAGGATGGAATAAAAATTCAGCTGAAATTTAGGATGCTGAGCAGGTATTTCCTTCAGTGAGATACACTTTATATATACTTTTAAATCATAAGCTATTAATGATAAAATTTACCACTTATTTAGGATTATATATGTGCCACATGCATTATATCATTTAATGAGTGGATCAAAAAACTATGGTACATTTACACAATGGAATAATACGCAGTAGCAGAAAAAAAGAAGGAACCTCTACCCTTTGTGACAGCATGGATGGAACTGGAGAGCATTATGCTAAGTGAAATAAGCCAGGGGGTGAAAGACAAATACCATGTGATCTCACCTATAAGTGGAACCTAATCAACAAAACAAACAAACAAGAAAAATGTAACCAGCAACATATAACCGATAGTAACGAGAGGGAAGGAGGGAGGGGGGTAATGGGGAAAGCGAAGGGAAGGGTCAAGTCAAGGAACATGTATAAAGGACCCATGGACAAAGCCAAAGTGGGGAAAGATTGAGGGTGAGGATGGGTGGGGGTGGGTGGGGCAGGAGAAATTGGTGGCAGGAAAATGGAGACAAATGTATTTGAACAATTAAAAAAATTAAATAATCCAGTGAAAAGAGAGAAGACAAACATAAGAGAAGAAAGAAAGAGAAAGAAAGACAGAAAGAAAGACAAACAGAAAGAAAGAAAGAAAGAAAGAAAGAAAGAAAGAAAGAAAGAAAGAAAGAAAGAAAGAAAGAAAGAAAGAAAGAAAGAAAGAAAGAAAGAAAGAAAAAGCTGAGATAACAGAGAGGTTAAGCAACAGCCAAAAACAGGCAGAACCAGGAATTCAAGCCCAAATCACCCTCTTTCCAGTGTAATATGTTGTGTCTTTTTACTTCTTTTGATCCTGTGTCAAAATCTCATTACTAAGAGATGGAAGAAAAATGTTCTTGACAGATGTAATCCCAGTCCAATACCACTGAGACATCAAAGAAAACTGTGCCCAAAACTCTTATATGGACCCTTTGATAGTTGTCCTCACAACTTTTTCTTTTATTTAGCTATGTTGAATAGAAAGATAGGAAGTTTAAATTGGTAACAGACAGAGGTCAAGGGCCAAAGAGAATGTTGGGGCAGCAGAGAAGGGGATAAGAGAGGAGGGAGGAACCATGTGAACAAGGAAGACAGAGAGGCCTCTTGGCTGCCTCTCTGTAGTTCTTGAGGTCAGAACTAGTACATCAGGGAGAGCCAAACTTTCTGGTGAGCACAGCTTGTATCAAATGTAGTAGCAATTAACCTGTCTACTACCTACTTTGTGCTAGGTGCTCTCTGAAATGCCTTCCATGTATTAACTCATTTAATCCTCACAAAAATACTATGAGGAAAATCTTTTGCTTAATCACATTGTACATATTAGAATATTTAAGCAGAGAGAGCCTATGATTTCCATTTTACAGATGTGAAAACTGAGGCACAGAGAAGTTGAGTAACTTGCCCAAAATTAATGTAATAAATGGTGGAGGTTAAATTTAAACAGGATTCTGTCTCCAGAGCCATGTTCTTACCTATCATGACATACTACCCCTACCAATATAGTGTAAAAATAAGTATTATTTCAGGAAACCTTTACTTCAGGTATACATGTGTATGTGAGAATGTAGGCTTACATTTGTACTGGGTTGCGATGTAAAATGTATTTATTGCTGTGAGTCACAGAAAAAAATTCTAAAAGCTACTGATCTAGCAATAGTACTGCTGAATTATACATCTTTGACCTCACTAGAGATAATATAGGTTGCTATTTTGAATGATCATACCAAATCACATCCCCACAAGCAGTGTAAGAGAGTTACCTGTGTTCTATATCCTCACCTGAACTTAATAGCATCGCACTTTTAATATGCTGCCAGTTCAACAGGTATGGATTCATATCTTATGTGATTTAAAATTGCATTTTTCTGATTTCTATTACATCTTTCTGTATGTTTTTTGTCATTCAGGTATTTCCTACTGTGAATTATTTGTTTAGATCCTTTATATATTATTGTATACAATACAAATGTATACAATATTCTCATAATAACCCTCTAAAGGAACTATCAGTTTAGATGGAGAAACTCAGGCTAGGAGAAACCTTGCTTAAAGTCACCCAGATAATGGGTTTTTGAATTGGGATTTGAGTCCAGACCTAAAAGACCCATATACGTAGGCCTTTTGTTTTATATGCCAAGGACCAAAGCCATGTTAGAAAAAAATAGAGAATGGGAAGAATGTCATGTGTCTAATTAAGTTTGTGCAATTAACAGATTATTTCCTTGTATACTTACAACAACCTGTGAGATAAAACATGTGATCTCCATTTAACAGCTGAGAAGACTGAGGCTGAGGGAAATGAAGAGATTTGCTTTGGAGAAGTAAAATTACAGCTAATAAGAAACAGAATCACAATTCAAAGGAGGGGGTAGGGAGGAGGGAGGAACAGTGCAGACATGGAGAACGGAGAGGCTTCTTGGCTGCCTCTCTGCAGCTCATGAGGTCAGAACTAGCACATTGTGGGAAGTCCAGTGTGATTATAAAGTCCATGCCTGTTCCACAATAATGGTACCTGTCCATACATATTCTTGGTATGAGGTAAAGGCTTCTCACCAATCAGGCCTGCCTCATCATCTCCTAGACCCATGGCTTGAACTCCTGCCCCACCTTCTTCTTAGAACCCCAACAAACTACTTCTCCTTGGACAGAACCAGAACCCCACCTACCATCTTTCTGCAGAATCGTGGCCTGGGCAGCCTTAACTAAACTGACTCAGCCCTGCTCCCTCCCATCAACCCCCCAGGGTAGGCAGGTTCCCAGCCAACTTCCACAGATTCATCTTCCATCACCCCAGGCTTCTCTGATGAAGCCGACTCAGGATCTCAACACCTTCCATGGTGAGCCAGAAAGTTCCAAATCAGGGTACTCAAATGGGGCTGCACATTAAAATCACCTGCAGAACTTGTAAGATTGTGATGCCCTGGTAACACCCAGGCCCATATATCAGAACTTCAGGGGATGGTACGGAGGCATCTGTGATAGTTAAATCTCTCCCAAGTGATTCCAATGTACAGCCAAGATTGAGAACCACTGTTAAGGCATATTCTTCAAGCTCCAGCAGCCACATTCATACAGTGGTTTCCACATTTTAGTGTTTACAGGAACTTCTTGGAGCATTCATTAAGATTCAGATTCCTATGGACCCAGAAGTCTTCATTCTTACCAGTCACCGCAGATAGTTTCATTGCAAGTCACTAGCAGACCACGTTTGGGGAAATACTGCATTAGAGACAGTACTACATGGATGTGGGATGGGACCAGGAGGCCTCTGGCCCTTTAAGGACTGATTAACAGACTTCCTTTAAATCTGTGAAGCAGAGCAGGCTAGGGATGCTTTTTTTTTTTTTTCATCCTAGTGGATAACATAAGGGGGCAGGTCCTAGAATGGACTTCTCCTTTTAAGTTACCTCAGACTCCAAATAAGTGCTATCTTGTTCCCAGCCCTGGGAAGCAGGTGTGGGGGACATGCTTCCTTGTCCCACCTGCTGTTTCTATTTGTTTTGATGCAAAGAGACCAAGTTTGGAGACGTCATTTGGTTCAGAAGATCCTCCCAGAGGAAGCAACATAGGGCCTGCCTGCTTTTCATTTTTTTTCTTGCCCTATCCTTTGTGATTGTGGCGCCAGGATGCAGTTACCTGTGTGAAAGGAAAGGGAAAGAGTGACATCTTTAGGCTTGGACTAGAACGTGTTGGTAAACACCAACCCTTTCAAGATGGTCCTCCTCAGCATCCTTAGAATTCTTCTTCTTTGGGGACTGGTACTTTTTACAGAACACAGAGGCCAAATGGCAGAGGTAGGGCAGCCTTCCCCTGCTCTTCTGGCTGAGACCCCTACCTTGCCCCTGATTCAGGAGCTGCTAGAAGAAGTCTCTGGCAAGAAACAGAGGAAGCCAGAGGTCCAAGGGCATCCCATGCGGTACATGCTGGAGTTATACCAGCGTTCAGCTGATGCTCGTGGTCACCCTAGGGAGAACCGCACAATTGGGGCCACCATGGTGAGGCTGGTGAGGCCCTTGGCCAAGGTAGCAAGGCCTCTCAGAGGTGAGTTATTATACTATACTGTCCTGGAGAGTAGAGTAATGAGTGGGAGTTTAGAGAAAGGAGGATCTGTGAGTTGACAGTAAGGTTTCATTGCCTGGTAGGCAGGTTGTGGTCTCAGGTTTGGTTTTCAAAGAGTTGCGAACTTGGGAAAAGCTGGCTCCAATCCTGCTACCCTTTTGCAGCCTAATTTAAGAACAGGTTGCTTTGGGGAATCTTTCCCAGGCCCCAGAGCAACTGAGTAATATGTCAACTCCTATTTTTCAGAGAAATACATGCCACTTGTTATATCACTGAAAATTATGATTGAAAAATACCCATACGCATTCTTGTGGAGGGCTGTTCATATGTTTTATTCTTAGAAGACAAAGAGTACAGAATGCTGAGTTGGGGAAATTTACAAAGCCTCAGAAAGGACATCCTTAATTATAGCCACTGTCGTTAGCTGTCACTAAGCAATTAGTCTAACTTTAAAAGATAAGAAAAAATAAGCACAGAGAGATTAAATAACTTGCAAATATCACAAGGACAGTGGGTAGCAGAGAAAAGGATTTGAGCTCAAGTCTGTTTGATTTTAAAGTATATTCATAACTTCTCAAGTGTTTAAGTGTTGTATCCCAATATCCTTGTATACCAAGCAGTTTTTCAATTTAGACCATGGTGCTACATTGGGTTTTTGGTACCAAATGTATTTTGGAATTGCCTTTGTTCCCATTGTGCTTAATTCTGTTTTAAACATCTTCATTAGACACTGTTCCAGGACAGCAGTGGGCTCTCAAAGTGCAGGGTTCTCTAGGGAATGCAGATAGTCATCAACTTCTAGGAAATCTTGGGAATCTGGCAAGATCAATCTTGGGCCTTCGCTAGTCTCAGATGACAAGAAGATTTATACTCCTTCCTCCAAGCAAAACAACCATACCCCTAGCTAACCTTTACTGTGAGTTTACCACATCGTAAAGGTGCCAGGCCTTGGGCTAATTACAAACATTATCTCCCTTAAGCCTCAGTACTATCACATGAGGTAAGTACTGTTAACCTACCCATTTTATAGGTGAAGAAACTGAGACTTAGGGTAACTTACTCAATGTAACACAGCTAGTAATTTGTAGAGCTAACTGTGAATCCAAGGCTTTCAGGCTCCAGAGCTTGTGCTTTTAATAACTCTGCTGTGCTGATTCCACAGCAGATATTAATTGAGCACCAGGCTCTGTGTTTGGGTTGGGTATAAAGAGGAAAATAAATGCTTTCCTCACCTCTAGGTCTCATAATGGTGTTACAGCATAATAAATGATTTGAAAAGGATAAGCAGTAGGGCTCCCAGGACCCCAAAGAAGAAATGGTCACTGCTTAAAGCAAAGAAAAGGAAGCAGGGAAACAGTCGGAAAGGCCTCATAGAGCAGGTGATATTTAAGCTGGACCTTGCAGAAGGAGTAAGGAGACTATGAATAGAGATAGGGAAGTATGTTCTGATTAAGGAAAAGGAAAATAGCTTGGTGGGGTGGGGATTCACTCAACAAATATTTATTTAGCACCTACTAAATGATAGGCAATTGTCTAGGTGCCAGAATACAGATGTGATCAAGATAAGCTTGGGTGGTGAGACAAGTAAGTAAACACTGAAATTGCAAATTGTGGTAAGTGCTATCAAAGAATGAAACAAGTTTTTTTGATAAATAATAGCAAAGAATCCTCTCTTTACATGGAATTGTCAGGAAAGGCATCTTTGAAGTGGTGACATTTGAGCTGAGATTTGTAAAATAAGAAGCTAGGCATGAGAAGAGTAGACAGAAGTCTGGTTTAGGCCAAGGAAACATGTGCAAAGTTCTAGAGTATGGAAGCACACTTGAAAACAGAAGGAAGATGAGTATGGCTGGAGCCCAGAGAGTCTTGTGGAGAGTGGTAGGATATGAGGCTGATGAGAGACAGGGACTTGCAGGCCATTTTAGAAGCTCTAGAGTTCATTCCTTAGTTCAGCAGAAATCAAGTTCATACAGATGTGAAGTTTGAAAGCAGGTGCTTAGGAAGTAGGGCGTATGAGTTGGCCATTTCCCTGAAAAGTTCTGAGCCCTCCCTTCTGACTCTGACCCTCAGCAACCCCACCCTGCTTCAGGAAATATATGATGTCAAAGTCTAAAAGGAAAAGGCAGTGTTCTTCACCAGACAGCCTGCTAGATAGAGGTTGGGTTGGATTCCTTTTCAGGCAGGGTGGGGCAGTTATATGGGTGGGACTCTTGGAAAGGTTATGGTAGGATGGGAGTTTGGAGTAACTTGAGAAAGCAAACAAAACCCTGGCGCTGGCCTTATGTGAATGATGTCCAGTGCCCCAAACTTGAGGGTTTATTAAGCATTAGTTGGAGCCTGAATTAAAAAAGAAAATACCCTGATGCATGAAGACATTAAAGAGCTTCTATGTTAAAGGCCTTAGGCCTACAAAAGAATTCCAGGCTTGAAGATGCCCTCCAGAAGGAAGGTTAGGTGAGTAATATGTATATTAACATGCAAATGTTATATAGTTTATCACTATAAAATCTCTGAAGACAAAAGAAGGCTTTTTCCTACAATGTCTGGTTTTTGTAACCTTTGCTCTTGACCTTCACCAGGAGGGGGATGCAGAAGTTCAGAGCACTGCAGGCCCCACCTTCTAATCCCTTTGGCCACTGGGTGTCAGCATTATGGTTTAGATTAAAACTCTTAATCACTAGGGAGCATGCAAACAAAACATTTATATAACCAAGGTCTTGTTGAAAATATTATTTAGAGGAATGGTGGTACAATGAATGGGGAAAAGGAAGAATCATTTCCAGTAATAAATAGAAAAAGCAGAGACTGAGGGTTAAGGCCCAAGAAGGAATAGCTATTCAAGAAGCAATTCTTAAAGTGGAAGGCAGAAATGGTAAAATAGCTGCCCCAGCTAGGTATGGATAGAAAAAATTATTTTGTGGCACCTTGGCCCTGGATTTGAGCTAATGGCAGGTCCTAACCCTCAATATTGGACTGTTACCCCAAAGCTGCATCTGTACAGTGATATGACACAAGGACTCATTCTTAATTCATGTATTTCTCAACAATTCTCTTAATTGGTCACCTTTAATAATCAACTAATAATATGATTGATCTTCTCCCACACATACAATATATACACAGAATAATTCTATATTTGAAGGTTTTTTTCAGCCTAGTGCTGTGAGTGAACTGAAAATAAGACACAATTTCTCTCCTTAAGGGAAACACGCTTGGGCTCAAATCTTGATTCTACCACAACTGGCTGTATGTCCTCTGGCATAGCTTCTCTGAGCCTTAATTTCTTTGTCTATAAAATAGGGATAATAACTAGCTCATAGGGCTATTGCAGGCTAAAGAGCTAATGCATGTAAAACTTCTAATATATTAGTAAGTGCTCAATATGCAATAGCTATTATCAAACTTGAGTTAATTTTAAGGCTGTTTACAACTGTCAGTGTGTTCTGAGAAGTTTTGTGAGAGAGATTCAGGCTTGGAGGTAAGAAGCTAACCCTTTGTTCTTGTTTCCTCTTTTTTATGCAGGCCACCGGCATATACAGACCCTGCACTTTCCTCTGAGACCAAACCGGGTAGCCTACCAACTAGTCAGAGCCACTGTGGTTTATCGCCATCAACTCCACCTAGCTGGCTTCCACCGTTTATGCCATGTGGAGCCGTGGGTCCAGAAAAATCCAACTAGTCACTTTCCTTCCCTAGGAAGAGGTTCCTCAAAGCCTTCCCTGCTATCCAAAGCTTGGACAGAGATGGAAATCACACAACATGTTCAGCAAAGTCTCTGGAATCACAAGGGGCACAAGGTTCTGCAACTTCACTTCATGTGTCAGCAGCAAAAAGATAGTGAGGGTCTTGAACTCCTGTGGCATGGCATGTCATCCTTAGACACTGCCTTCTTGTTACTCTATTTCAATGACACTCATAAAAGTGTTCAGAAGACCAAACTTCTACCCAGAGGCCTGGAGGAGTTTATGAAAAAGGACTCTTCTCTTCTCTTGCAGAGGGCACAGCGAGCAGCCAGTATTGCATCTAAGATTCCTGGCCCCTCCCAGGAACATGTTGGGCCTGAAAGTAACCAGTGTTCCCTCCACCATTTCCAAGTCAGTTTCCACCAGCTGGGCTGGGATCACTGGATCATTGCTCCCAATCTCTATACCCCAAACTACTGTAAGGGAGCCTGCCCTCGGGTACTGCGCTATGGTCTCAATTCTCCCAATCACGCCATCATCCAGAACCTTGTCAATGAGCTGGTGGACCAGAATGTCCCTCAGCCCTCTTGTGTCCCTTATAAGTATGCTCCCATTAGCATCCTTCTGGTTGAGGCTAATGGTAGTATCTTGTACAAGGAATATGAGGATATGATTGCCCAGTCCTGCACATGCAAGTGACAGCACAGGTACAGGTGGCTCAGGTTTCCCAAGAAATTGGAGTAGGGTTTAAAATAAAGAAACCAATACCAATGTTAAATCTGCAGGTGATCTCCTACCTAATCTACAGGTTCTATTCCTTGTCTTCAGTGTTGCTACATGTCTCTTCCCCTGTTTATGATCTCCTTGCATTATATAGAAACAGCTCTGATATAAAACATTAGTGTGTTTTGACCACTAGTCAGAACCCTTAATGCTTGAGTAAGATATTCCTTTGGATATGTCCTCTCTATTTCTTGTCATTTCATTGTGACTTTGTTAAAAGTCACCAATCCATGATGGCATAACTTTAGGCATTGTCCCACCAAGATCTGGGAAAGGTAGGATCTTCCTAGTGTCCCATTTTCTGAGGCTCTCTAGAAAATCTGAGATAGAAAAGGGGAAGAGTTGTCATTGTCTATTAGGATTATGTATAGGGGAGTAATCTTAACACTTCTATGGAACACTAGATTTCACAGGGTATTGTCTTGTTTTGTGTAACACTTAACACCCCTGTTAATTACTCAACATAGAAAGTTCCCTAATGTCTCAGAGCCCAGGAGCTGGCCTGGATGGAGGTGGAAGTGGGAGAAGGCTGCATTTAGAAAGCTTCAACGGCTGTGAGGGGAGGCTGCATCATGTTGAGGCCTGGGGCTTACTTCATTCTGGGCTTGCCTGTTTATGCAAGTTCAGTTTGGTTCTGGGCATGGGTCTCTGGGGGATATGGACTTGCTGTTTTGGGAAGCAAGGTGCTATGCTTTGGACTATATGATGCTTGCAATGTAACTTTTTTATTCCTATACTGTATTGAAGTGATGGGAACTGAGTTGTGTTACAAATAAATCATTTTGTTGCTAAAGAAAATCTGGAATGTTTTGAGGATTGGGAGAGAATGGGTGGAAGGAATTTATTTCCTTTAGCTTTGACCAGCAGCTGAACTCTAATCCCCAAGAGTGGAGCCAGAGGCTCCTCTGAAGTTTTGTTCTCTTAAGGCAGCCCTGAAGCCCCAAGGGGCCCCTTTGAAGAAGCCTAGTAAGGCCTTTTCCCTGCCCAACTGTTCCTTGACTAGTCTTAGGGCCAGTCTCAGTGGGAATAAGATTGGACTGATTTAGGATGGGTGCATGTATTTGCCAAATATAAATATATGAATCCCTCTTTTTTTACCTATCCATTGTAAATTAACTCATTTTATGACTCCCTTCTCAAAAACTGGTTCCAGCTAGACAGACATACACATTTATAAATACACAAATTGTGTTCTTTTGCCTGGGGAGCTGTTCTATAACATCCTTTTGTCCATCTACCTTCCTTACTGTATCTCTGGGAATCAGCTCAGGAATTTCTCTACACATGCTCAATGCTCCCATAACATCCCAGACTCAAGTATGTGCCCCCTACTCTGTGCTCACATAGCACTATTTGCTTTCCTTTAACACTCCAGTATAACTTTTTTTTGCCAAAAGATGGAGCTCCTTTAGAAAATTTCAACTGTGTTTTACCCATTTCTATATTACTGGAGATTGGCACATAGTACATCCTTGATGGATACAAACATAGGTTCAAACATAGGACAGTGACACTGATTTTTTTTCTTTTTTGTGAGGGATGCTTTCCTTGTAACATGATATATTTCAATGTTCACATATTTCATTAATTTTCTATTGGAATAAATGTAATATATATTTTTAATATAAAGTAACATTAATTTTTGCCCCGTTTCAAAATCATGATTCAATTTACAATAGAATGTGACAACTGTGTTCTTCAATAAGTAGGTTTGTGGAATCATATATGCTCCAAGTCGACATGGGAGAGTAAATGTGAGTTTGTAGTGCAGCCATTTCCCCAGCCTACCTGCAGTAGGCACAAATACATGACAGGCCTGAAGACAGACTTTGGTCACAGGACCATATTCTGAGTTCAGTATCTCAGTGTTCTTTGAGATTTTCAGAAAATCATTGTCTCCAAACCTGTGAATCCTGAACACATCTGAAACTTAATCTATTTATGTAGGGTTCAGGGTTAATCGAACCCATTATCTAGTAAGCCCTGAGTTGTCAGAATATCCAAAGAAAACACTGGAAGGATGAGGTCAGTTGTGGCTGATGGTATGAATTCTTTTTTTTTTTTTTGAAATGTTGCTTTCAGCTCAGCACTTTTTCTCAAGTCCAGTGTAAAAGATCTATACTTCAAATGTTCTTCTGGGAGAAAGGAGATACGCTTGTTAGTGGAGGATGGTGTGCGGATGAGAAATCTGTCTGTCCAGGTGGGTGGTGAGAAATGATTATTTGGTCCAGAAAGCAAAAGCAGGGAACAAAGTCCATCTTGTCCCAGCTCTTTCAGTGAATAGGCCAGAACTTTATTCATTGTATGAGCACAAAAGGAGCAAGCATTTAAAGTTGCTTCTGACCCTGGAGCTCTGTTTGTTGTATTTACTTTGGTAGTATATTACATCTAATACTGAGCAAAGTTGGGAAGCATGTAAAATTCATTTTCAGTTCCACCAAATACTTGGGTGCCTAATTTGGTAAAGAAGTTTCACATGTCTTTGGTCAATTCTTCCAACAGCATTATAAAGTGGGGTAGTAATGCTAAATCATGTGGTAACTATGTTTAACACTTTGGGAAACAGCTAAATTGTTTTCTCAAGTGGCTACACCATCTTACTATCCAGCATGAGTGAGGGTTTCAATTTTTCTACATCCACACCAATACTTGTTATTGTCTGCCTTTTTTATTTTAATCATATTAGTGGAGGTGAAGTGATATTTCACTGTGGTTTTGGTCACGTTTCCCTAATGACTAATGATATTGAACATCTTTTCATGTACTTATTTGCAACTGGAATATCTTTTTTAGGTAAATGTGTATTCAAGTCACTTGCCCAGTTTGTTTTTTTTTCCTCACCTGAGGATATGCCTTCATTGGTTCTAGAGAGAGAGGAAGGTAGGGAAAGGGGAGAGAGACAGAGAGGGGAGGGGTAAAGGGGAGAGAGAGAGAGAGAGAGAGAACATTGATGTGAGAGAGAAACATCATTTGGCTGCCTCCCCTAATCACCCCAAAAAGGGTTAGAACCCACAACCTTTTGGTGTATGGGACAATGAAACAACCAACCAACTGAGCCACCCAGCCAGGGCCATTTGTCAGTTTTTAATTGGGTTGTCCCTTATTGTTGATTTGTAAAAGTTCTTAATAGATTCTAGATATTAGTCCCTTTATCAGATATATGATTAGTAAATATATTCTCTGATTCTATGAGTTGCATTTTAACTTTCTAGATGGTGTCCTGTGAAATACAGAAGTTTTTAACTTATCTATTTTTATCTTTTGTTTCTTGTGCTTCTGGTGTTACCTAAAAAACAATGAATAATCCAAGGTCATGAGGATTTATACACCTATGTCTTATTCTAAGAATTTTTATCATTTTAATATTTAGGTGTTTAATCCATTTTAGTTAATTATGCATATGATATGAGATAAAGGTCTAATTTCACTTATTTCTACATACATATCCAGTTGTCACAGTACCATTTGTTGAAAAGACTAATCTTTTTCCATTTAATTGTTTTCACACCTCATCAAAAATTGACCATAAATATAAGGGTTTATTTCTAGGCTGTCAACTTTCTTCCATTGATCCATAGGTCTGCTTTTATTCCAGAACAGCACTGTCTTAATAACTGTTGCTTTGTGTAACTTATGTAATTGAGAAATGTGATTCTTCCAAATATTTTCTTCTTTACAAAGATTGTTTAGGGTATTCTGAGCCACTTGAATTTTCATATGAATTTCATTTTTTAAACATTTTTTATTTTATTGATTATGCTATTACAGTTGTCTGAATTTTTCTTCCTTTGCCCCCCACCACACAGCACCCCCATTCCCTCAGGCAATCCTCCCACCATTGTTCCTGTCCATGGGCCATGTGTATAAGTTCTTTGGCTACTCCCTTTCTTATACTGTACTTTATATCCCCTTGGCTATTTTATAACTACCAATCTGTAGCTCTTTACCCCCTCACCTCTTTTTTTTTCTCTTTGAGACTCCAAGAAGGAAAAATAATTTATTAGGTCCAGGAATCCAAGATGACTCGGTATATTTATGATTACATGCAGAATTTAATGGTTAGAAATGAAATCTATTTAGGTCCAGCCTAAGGTTCTCACAGCCAATCTATAGGCACAAAATAGCAGTATCCCCAGAAACCAGGATAAATCTCCAATTTGCATGAGTCTAATGAACCAGATAGGCCACTGTGTCACCAATATCTTCCTGTAGCCCATTTTCAGTAAGGTAAACTTTCTTGCTCATGAGGTCTACATGGAAGACAGCATGCTCATAAATGGGGGTCTTCCCAGTTTGCTCTTTTTCCAGGACAAGAATTCGCCGAGGCCCCAACAGTGGGTCATCAAATCTCATCTGTTTCATTTTGGAAATACCTTTGATTCCTTGGTCCATTTTCATTAAATGCCTAATTATAGGATCGCAGGTATCTCCTTGGCTGATTTCAATTTTGGTTGAGAAGTGACCATTGGATAGCTGGAGATGCACTATGAAGACTGACAACCCAGGCTCTGTTCTAAAAACATTAAGTGGTTTCCCAGGACAGCATCCTTCCCTGATTTTATCTTCTGCTTCAGAGGCAAACAAGACTTCTATGTTTTCTAGCTCAAGGAAATTGGTCAGGTAGACTATATTCTCCATAATGCAAAGACTTCTGAGGTGGTTGTATGTCAGTCTTCTTCCCTTTAGCTGGCATCATATAAATCTTCAGTTGCAGTCTGAGGTCCTGTGCCACCTCCATGAGATACTGTGAGGAATGTATCAAGGCTTTATCCACAGGACCAGTGTCAGGCCATGAGGCACTCACAATTGAGTCAGGCTTTCCCAGGAGTGTCCAGATGTGCTTGCACACATGTGGACAGAATGGAGCCAAGAGAAGTGTCTGAACTTCAATAAATCGGAACACAAGGATGCATCCC